GGTTGGGCATCAAATTGCCTCGCTCTTAAAACCAACAAAGTTTGTGTTCACGAGTCTCAGAGGACTACAGTGAACAAAGAAGCAATTGTTAATATGACCACCTCAGTAGCTACAGAGAAAACATTTCACAAAATCAATGCCCTTTTATGATAAAAACTCTCAGCAAATTATGTATAAAAGGATCACTCCTCATCATAATAAAGACCATATATGATAAACCCCCAGCTAACATCATACTCAATGGTGAAAAAAATGAAAGCTTTTTCTTTAAGATCAGAAACACCTGTCAGAATGGCTATGATCAATAAATCAACAAACAACAAGTGTTGGCGAGAATATGGAGAAAGGAAACCCTGTTGGTGGAAATGCAGATTGGTGGAAAGCATTATGGAATTACCTCAAAAAATTAAAAATGGAAATGGCTTATGACTCGGCAATTCCACTTCTGGGAATTTATCTACAGAAACCTGAAACACAAATTTGCAAGAATATATGCACCCCTATGTTCATCACAGCATTATTTACAATAACCAAGATTTGGAAACAGCCCAAGTGCCCATCAGTAGACCGGTCGATAAAACAGCTGTGGTACATTTACACAATGGAATACCACTAAAGTGCAAAAAAGGGGATCTTACCTTTTGTGACAGCATGGAGGAACCTGGAGAGTATTATGCTAAGTGAAATAAGCCAGTCAGAGAAAAAACAAATACCATATAATTTCACTTATATGTAAAATCTAATGAATAAAATAAACTAATAAACAAAATAGATACCAACTCATTGCTATTAGAGTGGAGGGTGTAGAGGGGCTGGAGGAGAAAGGTGAAGGGATTAAGCAAAAATAAACAAACAAACAAAAAATCTCATAGATGCAGATAACAGTATGATCATTACCAGAGAAGGAGGGTGGAGGGAGGCAGAAGAGGGTAAAAGGGGAATAAATGGTGATGGAAGGAGACTTGACTTGGGTGGTGAACACACAACACAATATACAGATGATGTATTATAGAACTGTACACTTTACACCTATATTATTTTACTAATCAATATAACCTCAATTAATTTAATAAAAGAAAGAAAGAAAAAAGGAAATGACAGAAATTTCTACTTTTTCCACTTTTATTTAATATAGTACTGGAAGTCCCAGTTGGAGCAATTAGTCAAGAAAAAAATATAAAAAGCATCCAGATTGTAATGAAAAAAGTAAAATTGTCTCTTTGCAAATGACATAATATTTTACATATAAAATTCTAAAATATTTACTAAAAACTGTTAGAATAAAATTCAGTAAAGTTAGAGAATACAAAATGAACATACAAATATCACTTAGTTTTTATACAATAACAACAAACTATTAGAGAGAGAAATAAATACATGGTTCCATTTGCAATATCATCAAAAATATTGAAATATTTAGGAATAAATTAACCAAAGAGATTACAGTTGTCTATACTAAAACCTATAAGACATTGAGGAAACAAGTTAAAGGTGACACAAATAAATGAAAAGATACTCCATCTTTATGAATGGAAAAAAATAGCATTTTTAAAATGTGCATACCACATAGGTATCTATGGATTGAATGTAATGCCTATCAAAATTCTAATGGCATTTTTATAGAAATATAAAAAGCAATTCTAAAATTTATATGGTACCACAAAAGAGCCCAAATAGCCTTATTTTGAAAAAGAAGAACAAAGGTGGAAGCATTACATTCCCGATTTCAAACTATACCACAGAGCTATAATAATGATAATAGTCCCCTGGCCAGTTTGGCTCAGCGGTTAGAGCATCACCCTGTGGACCAGAGAGTCTCGAGTTCAGTTCCCGCTAAAGGCACATACCTTGGTTGCAGTTTGTCCCTGGCCCCAGTTGGGGTTGTGTGGGTGGCAACCACTCAATGTGTCTCTCTCACATCAATATTTCTTTCTCTTTCTCTTTCTCCCTCTCTCCTGCTCTGTCTGGAGATAATGCAAAAAGAAAAAAAAAAAATGTCCTCGGGTGAGGATAAATAAATAAATAAATAATGAAAATAGTATAGTATGTTATTGACATTAAAATGGACACAAAGATCAATGGAATATAAAGTGCAGAAATAAAGCCCTGAATATAAGGTTAATTAAAATTTTTTAATTTATTTTTCTTGATTTTTAGAGTTGGGGGAGAACTAGAAACATTGATGAGAGAGAACATCAACTGGCTGCCTCCTGAATGCCCACCACTGGGGATCAGGCCCACAACCTGAGCATGTGTCCTGACTAGGAATCAAACTGGCCACCTCTTTGTGCGTGGGTCAACACTCAACCACTGAGCCACACCGTCTGGACAGGGTTAATTTTTTTTTTAATCCTCACCTGAGGATACTTATCTATCTTCAGACAGTAGGAGGGAGAGGGAGAGAGAGAGAAATATCAATGTGAGAAGGACACATCAACTAATTGCCTTCCTTATGACCCTGACCAGGGCCGGGGATGAGCCGCAACCAAGGTACATGCCCCTGACCAGAATCGAAACAGTGACTCATTGGTCAACAGGCTGTCGCTCTAACAACTGAGAAAAACCCTCCAGGACAGGGTTAATTAATGTTTAACAAACATACCAAAACTGCACAGTGGAGAAAAGATACTTTATTCTTTAAGTGATGCTGGAAAAATTGGATAACCACCTGCAAAAGAATGAACTGAACCTTTATCATAACCATACACAAACATCAACTCAAAATAGACTAAAGCCTTGAACATAAGACCTGAAACCATATAATTCCTAGAAGACAAAATAGAGAGTAAACTTCTTGACATTGGTTTGACAATGATTTTGAGGGGGATTTGACAAAAACAAAAATAAACAAGTAAAACAACATCAAATTAAGTTTCTGCACAGCAAAAAAAAAACCATCAACAAAATGAAAAGGCAACCTATGGAATGGGAGAAAATATTTTCAAAGCACATATCTTATAATGAGTTAATATCCAAATTATACAAGAAATTTATATTCATGCAAGTCTGTAGCAAAAAACATATAAACAAAAAACCACAGTAACCCAACATCAGTAATCACCAGGAAAATGCAAATCAAAACCAAAATGAGATATCGCCTTACACATGTTAAGATGCTTATTATCAAAAAGACAAACAATAACAGATGCTGGAGAGGATGTGAAGAATTGGGAAGCCTTGTACTCTGTGAGTGGAAATGTAAAATAGTACAGCCATTATGAAAATAGTATTAGGGTTCCTTAAGAAATTAAAAATGGAACTGCCATGTGATTCATCAATCTTGCTTCATTCCAAATAAAATTATTATCTTAAAAAGATATTTGCACTTACTTTTTCATGGAAGCATTATCATAACCAAGGTATGAAAACAACCTAAGTGTTCCTTAATGGATGGACAAGTAAAGATGAAGTGGCATACCTATACACAATGGTATAATATCAATAATAAAAGGAAATCCTGCCATTGGTGACAACATGGGTAAACCTTCAGAGTATTATGCTAAATGAAATAAGTCAGACAAATAATGTATATAATCATCTATATACACACTGTAGAGTGTGTATAAAAACAAGTAGTAGAATAGTGGTTCCTAGTAGTGGAATAGATGGGAGATATTGGTTAAACGGTACAACTTTCAGGTATAAGATGAATAAGTTCTAGGCATCTGAGGTACCAAATGGTCAGTATATATTATATATTATATACTGTATTATTTGCCTGAACATTTTTAAGAGAGTAGATCTTAAATTATGTCACCACCTCTAAAATGTGCAACTATGTGAGGTGATGGATGTATTAGTCTCATTGAGGCACTTATTTCACAATGTTAACATATATCAAATCATCACATTGTACATGTTAAATTCACACCATGCCTTAAATTTACACAATGTCATACAGCAATTATATCTAAGTAAAGCTAGAGGAGAAAAAAGCAAAGGTTTGAAATCATCAGATCTTTAACTTAGGGTGTTCACTAAACAAAGAAATATACTTACCAAATTAAAAATGTTATGAGAATCATCTCATTGTTTCAGAATATTGCAACTAGAACATTGTAGCTAGACAAAATATTTTCTGAAAAGTTGCTATAATCATAGAAATCAAAGATCCCTTTAATAATAGAATAATTTATAACTATTCTTTAATAATGTCAAAACTATAGTAATTTAACTTTATTCTAAATTCCTCTTTGTCACAAGATCAGAGTGCAAAAAATATAAGCCAAGCTTCAAAAGGACTCATTACATTGTAACCTGAAATAAAATTAAAACTAAATAGGAATATGCCCTCAAGGCAATCTAAGTATATTTTTCTTAATGCCTATACACCTTTTTAAATACTTCACACGTGGTTATCCTTATTAAAATGAAGACTTTTATAAAGAAAATAAGTTTCCCTACCCAGACATTGAAATGTAAAATATGCAAGAAGATGGGGTGAAAACAGGATAGAGCTATTTGTCTTAGAAGGAATCAAATGGAAAGAGAATAAGAAAGATAATGGATTATACTAAGGAGAAAGAAAATACCACATAACTTTAGATGTGTTTCTCAAACTCAAGGAATTTAAAGTAGATGAAAGAACTGAGGAAAATAAAATGCTTTTTCCACTACAAACTGCACTTAAAGAAAAGAAAAGATGCCTGTATACTTTAACCTTGTCAACAGGGTTTAGTGTAAAAAGAATAAAAAGGACATTTTAAGTAATTATTTCAATCATAAACTTATTTCAAAATGGACTCTATATTTGAATGAAAATAACAAGTAATTTTAAACCACTCATTTTTATTGTTCATTTTCCAACCTGCAGTCTATATCTTGGGGTTCCCTTTTATTTTCCTATTCACAGAGCTACTTCCTAATGACCACCCTATGTAAAGTACTTACAAACTCCCTAGCCTCTGAAAGCAGGCTTAGTTATGACCTCATGACAGCTGTGAAATAGGCCCCTACTTTGGTTCTGTATGGATGACATCCTCTATTTCAATAGTAGAAACCTATTCTTTCTCGATATTAGACAACTCTTCAGGAACAGGATCCAGTGCTAAAGGTGCTTTAGATTTTGATTTATTTTTTAATGTCGCTGATTCTGATTTTGCCACTGGGACATCTATTGTCTTCAAAGATGAGTATTCAGTAGACACATTTTCTACCAGAGCCTCATCTGCAGGGGTTTGTTCAAATGGTGGAGGCTGAACTTCTTCAGGAGAGTATTTTATAACGATGTGTGTAAGTAATAGTGGCCTCTTCAGATGATGGAGGCTGTTTTTCAGCAGGGACCATTTCTGAAGTAGTTTCTTCAGTTGGTGGAAGCTGAAGTTCAGCAGGGATCTCTTCTACAAAGGCCTCCTCAGCTGGTGGAGAATGAACTTCAGCTGGGGCCTGTTCTTCAGGGATCTCCACAACTTGTGGAGAATGAACTTCAGCTGGGTCCTCTTCTGCAGGGGCCTCCTCAGCTGGTGGAGAATAAACTTGAGCTGATTCCTCCTCTGCAGGGACCCCCTCAGCTGGTGGAGGCTATACTTTAGCTAGGACCTCTTCTGCAGGGGCCACCTCAGTAGGAGCTTCCTCAGCTGATGGAAGCTGAAGTTCAGCTGGGACCATTACCGCAGGGGCCTCCAAAGGTGGTGAAGATTGAAATTCTGTAGCCTCTTGTGTAGGAGCTTCTTTGGTTGATGGAGGCTTAACATAAGCCAAAGGCTCTTCCAAAAGAGCCTCTTCAGCAGGGGTAGGTACTAGTTTAGCATCTTCTGCAGGGATTTCCTTAGCTGGTAAAATCTGAACTTCAGCAGGGGCCTTCTCTGTAGAAGTTTCTTCAAGCGTGAAAGGCTGTATTTCAACAGGAGTCTCTTCAGCTATTGGAGGATGAACTTCAGAGGGAGGTTCTTCTGAAGGTGATTCTTCAGCAGAGGTAGGCTCTACTTTGGCAAGGGCCTGCTGTAGTCTTCTCGCTGGTGGAGGTTGCACTTCAGCAGAGATCTTTTCTGCCATAGGAGCCTGTCCTGCACCTGGAAAGACATGCTTATCTAAAAGTACTGGAGTACCTTTTATCATTTTAACTGCTTCTCCAACAACAGCTGGCTTTTCTTCAGGTACCACTGTTGCACCAACTGTTTTGATTTCTTTGTTCTCTTCTGCAATAGTGTCTGTCTGCAAAGATATATCAGTCATATGTTGCACACGCTTCCTTTTTGTCTATGTTTGCTGAAGCTGAGAAGATAGTCTAACAGACTCAGAGTTGACTTTGCTTCCAGGAATGTTACTAATATTAAGGGTAGTTTCGAGGTCACATGATTGTGGTAAGGGCAAGTATATCTTTTTCTCTGTCACTTCAGTCTGTTGAGATTTGTCTACCATTGGTTGGCTGGGTTTTCTTTTCTTTCGAATTTCTTGCCTCCCTGCTGAGATAGGCTGATGAGGTTCATCACTTCCTTCCATATTTAAAACTGGTGAATCTCGCCCTGGCCAGTTTGGCTCAGCGGTTAGAGCGTCGGCCTGCGGTCCGGTCCGGAGAGACCCGGGTTCGGTTCCCGCTAAGGGCACGTACCTCAGTTGCAGTTTGTCCCTGGCCCTGGTCGGTCGTGCGGGTGGCAGCCACTCGATGTGTCCCTTTCATATGGATGTTTCTCTCTCTCTCTCTGTTCCTCTCTCTCCCTCCCACTCTACCTGAACAAAAAATAGAAAAATGTCCTCAGGTGAGGATTAAAAAACAACAACAAAAATCAAACAAACTGGTGAATCTCAAGCTTATTAATCAGCAAGAATCACAATATACCAGATGTTTAAGCTTTTACCTTCCTTCATTGTGTTATTCTGTTGAGGTCTCTCTCTGAATAAAAGTAATCTACAAATTACTGAATTCTGCATTATACTCTTGTTGGACACCATCTTACTCAGTAAGCATCTTTCTTATTTAGTCTCTAGTGTGACAAAAATCTCACTTCTAGAAGTTCCCTTCAAGGGTCTATGACATCACAGGCAATTCTCACTACAGTGTTCCATCTGTGATATTCCCAGGACTTTTTACCTTGATAAACACTCATGAAAAATGGCTGCAAGTAAGAGATCTACTGTTTGAAATATCAAGCTGAGAAAGAATTTGTCTATCAGAGAAACATCAAGTAATCTCCAGTAATGCTTCTTTCTAATAGCTAAAGTTGAATCTTTTAAACTTTCAATTCTGTTCTTTTCATCCTACTATCAAGAACAGGGTAAATTGCAGAATTCACAATTCTGAAGCCTATTTTTAATTGTTGGAGAAAATAACTGCTAACATATATGTGACAATGTTCTATCGATGTATGTTTTATGATTTGAAAGAAAGTTAATATCGTTTGAAAATTTTGAGTTCTGAGGTCCATATCCATGTAAACTCCTTTCTTATATCCTTAAAACTCAGCAACACAATGGATTGATATATGTATAATATGCCATGCTAGATATTTATATTTTTAACTATTTCAGAAAAGAATTCTATTCAAAATTTTCTGAATACATAATGCTGAATATAAAAATATATCAAGTGAAATAAAATGCATTTTTATGTAATCACGACATATTATGCCTAATACCCACATAGGAATGAATTCACCAATGAAAATAAAAACTTTAATTTGAAGCTTTGAAAAACAGGAACCCTGTTTAGCAAATTGTAAATGGCACTATATTCTTTTTGCGATATAAATGAAACTTTAACTTATATGTGACCCCAAGTTTTTACTAGAACAATGGAGATTGGTCAAAATATGTGCACAAACATATTTCTTTAGTCCGAGGAAAGTTAAAGAGAAGAACATAAACTTAAAAAATATAAGATAGTCTGGCCAGTGTGGCTCAGTGGATTGAGCATTGTCCCATGGACTGAGAGGACCAGTTCTATTTCAGGTCACAACACATGCCCCTTCTGTGGGGTCGATCCACAGTAGGTGGTGTGCAGGAGGCAGATGATTGCTGTTTTTCTCTCACATAGATATTTCTATCTCTCTCTCCCTCTAAAAAAAAAAAAAAATCAATAAAAACATGTTAAAAAAAAACTCAAAAAATGTATATATAGTATAATCACAAGATGAAAAGTAATAAACATATCTAAACAATCATTATGACTTAATTAACCTGGAAATATATATATTTTTTAATTTTTATGCTGCCCCACAATTAGACTACTGCCCCAGGTGGCTCAGTTGGTTAGAGCATCATCCCATATACCACAAAGATTGCAGGTTTGATTTCTGGTCAGAGTACATACCTAGGTTGTGAGTTCAATGCCTGGTCAGGATGTGTATAAGAGGTAACTGATCAATGTTTCTCTCTCCCCCTTCCTCTCTCTCATAAAATAATCAACAAACATATTTTTGGGTGAAGATTTAAAAAATTTATGCTGTATTGTCCCTAAGAAATATAAGAGTATCATTAAATAATTCTCTTTATTTGACACACACTAGTCATAATTGTAGGTAGGTCATCTTAGCCAAATCAATGAGTACTTTTCACATTTCTTGACCCAGCCCTAAAACACCTTCTGTCTCTTGAAAGGGATCAGTGAATATTTGTTCAGAGTAATTGGAGGAACATGATTAGAAACCATGCTGCTTGTCCTACATCTCAACTTGCTCTGCTCTCACTTTTGTTTGTTCCATGCCATGATATTATATCTTCTAAGATTTAATAAAGTGAAGTAAAGCAATAGTCGTTTTACAATGAAATTGGCATAGGTTTTAATCACATCTGCTACAGTTTGAAAACTAGATGGTTTACCACCTTCTTTGTTGTCTAGTGTTCCATGTAATTACATCTGTAAAGTATTGCATGAGTATTTTATAATCAAGTTTCTGCCATTTCATGTAGTATCTTCAAAGTCTATTTTGAGCCAATTTATAACAGAAAATACATGGCAAAAACGGCATTGTACTAACTGGGTTAATATAACATTGCATATATCAGACTAATTTTGCTGCCTCAACTTCAATAAAATTTTGTCAAATTTTCCATAAATATAAACTAAATTTTCAATTTAGTTAAATTAAATTAGCATTTTCTATTCTTTGATATTTATATTTTTCCTCCAGAAAATAATGAAAAACTTGATCTTTCTTAATCATACACATAACTATCATAGTAAATTGCCTTTTGCTCTAGCTTATTCATAGAAGCAAATTAACATGTCTAAATAATCAATTAAAATTTACTTGAAATTCAAAATAGAATTATGAAGGATTTTGTGTAGCAGTTTCTCATTATTACATTTCTTAACATCCACAATGCTCCTTTTACCCTGATGATCTACCTAACCAACTGATCATTACTCAATCTACCTTGTTGATTTAGGGTTTGGTGTTTTACCCTTAGTTCTGGCAACATCACATCTTTCAGCTCTCTCTACTTCATTTGGTTCACATCTGTTACAGGTTAAATTGTGTGTCCCAAAATGATATGTTGAAGTCCTTAATCCCCAGTCCCTGTGTATGTGACCTTATTTGGAAAGAGTCTTTGTGAATGTAATCAGGTTATGATGGTATCATTATAAGAAGAGAAAAAATTGAACACAAAAAGATACAAAGGGAAGATGGCCATGTGAAGAAGAGGGCAGAAATTGGAGTTATACTCCTGTAAAACAAAGAACATCTAAATATACCAGAAGCTGGAAGAAGCAAGGAAGAATCCTCTGCTAGAGGCTTCAGAGGGGTTATGGCCCTGCCAACATCTTGAGCTGTTAAAGAATAGATGTCTGTTGTTTTAACTCAGTTTATAGTACTTTCTTATGGAAACCCTAGGAAACTAATTCGAATATCTTTTCAAAATCTCATTTTTTAATCCTACCTGTCATGCTGTACTTCTGACTCTTTATTAATCTCTAGGGCTAGTTTCTTTATCTCTGACTCAGGTCTGGCATTTGGCTTCATACACTATTTGCATATTTCTATGATCATAAAACCAGAGTGATTTACTGAAAGGCCTCTACCTGATAATTTACACTTAATTTTACCAAAATCAAATTTGCTGAGTGGCACTCAATTTTATTTATAATTTTAATTACTTTAAAAGCTATGTTTTACAGATGGAATAGATAGATGTTTCAAATCAATATACACCAAATATTTAAACTGTGCCCTCTACTGCTTTGTCTTAACTAAGTAAATAAAAGAAGTTGAAGCCTAAACAATTCCTATTGACTATAACAACTAAAAGTCATTGGTCATTTTAGTAAGAGCAATTTCAGCATAAGGGTGAAGATTGAAGCCATAAAATTTTAAAATCTGTGAGTTAAAAATAAACAAAATTAGCCCTGGCCAATTTGGCTCAGTGGTTAGAATGGCGGCCTGTGGTCCCGAGAGACCCGGGTTCGGTTTCTGCTAAAGGCGCGTACCTCGGCTGCAGTTTGTCCGCAGCCCTGGTTGGTTGTGCGGGTAGCAGCCACTCGATGTGTCCCTTTCACGTTGATGTTTCTCTCTCTCTCTTCCTCTCTCTCCCTGCCACTCTCTCTGAACAAAAAATGGAAAAATGTCCTCGGGTGAGGATAAAAAAATAAATAAAATAAATAAATAAACAAACAAACAAACAAAATTAACATGCAATAAAAAGGCAGGAAAAATAAGTATAAACTATCACATAGACTAAAATCTGTACTTAACATATTAAAGTATCTTAGAAATTGATATAAATATAATGATGAAATATTAAAAAACAACATAAATAGGAAATTTATAGAAGCAAATAAGTGATAATAAACATGTAAAATATAGAATTTACTTCTAAAATTAAAATTAAAATAATATCAATGTAAAATTAACAAATAATTTTTTAAAGATAGTACCACACCCCCTAAAAAGGAGGCATATTATTAAATGGATGGTTTTCTATATTACTGTCAGGAGTTTAAATTGATACAATACTTATTCTGGATAATTTGAAAGTAAATATCAAAATTTTCTAAAATAGGCCTGGTTGGTGTGGCTCAGTGGTTGAGTATTGACCCATGCACCAAGAGGTCGCGGGTTTGATTCCCGGTGAGGGCACATGCCCAGGTTGTGCACCCAATCCCCAGTGTGAGGCATGCAGGAGGCAGCCAATCAATGTTCTCTCTTATTGATGTTTGTATACCTCTCTCTCTCTCCCCCTTCCTCTCTCTCTAAAATCAATAAGGAAAAATTATTTTTTAAAGTTTCTAAAATGGCATATCATTCACCACAAATTCTACGTATAAGAAACTTAATTTTTAAGAGAATTTCCTCCTCAAGAAATATTTATTGAGTTCCTATCTATTCCAGAGATAGTTACTAGATATTGGGGTAACAACCAAATACAAAAAGGTATTTTTTCCTATCCTTGAGAATCTCACAGTCTAGTGAAAAAAACTGAATAAGAAAGTATAAAAATTGTGAAAAATATTGTTAAGTACTCAAGAGGGCTTTACCTAGAGTAATAGGACCAGAAGGGGTCTA